TTCCAATAGGGTCCTCACACCATCGGTGCTCGGGCCCTAATAAGTCCAAAATGCTCTCGTGTAAATATACCTTCATCCTCCTCCTCTTCCTCCGTGACACCTGAGTGGCGTTCCCCACTTTCCTGAGCCAGAGACAGCATCCTCTCTTTACCTCTCTTAAACTTCTGCTGTCGGCTTTTGATGCGGTCCATCCTGAGAGAAACAGACAGAGGGAAACGGAGAAGATGTTATCTTGAGTCCTCAGCCTGTCTGCTTGAGCTGACCTAATTTAGCTGTTCCCTTGAACACTGGTTAACCAGCGGCTCTCAGGGGCTAAAAATGCTGAATAAATAATAAGAAACACTGTGACAGAGAAAAAGCAATACGCAGCAATCTGTGTGTCTCATTAATGTGTGTTCATGCATCAATCAGCGCATGATTTCATAGGACTGCGTGAAAAGGGAATGCAGCAGTTGGCAGCGAACAATGAAGCATTGTGAGTCTCGCACTGAACTCACTGTCTCTTCAGCAGATCCATGGACTTCTTCTCTTCTTCTATTCTGGCTTTAACCGCCTTCACAATGGTTGCCTGAAACAACTCCGCTCCTCTGACAGACAAACAAAGAGGAACAGAGACACGAAACAAACAAACCACAGTCTGAATATGCCTGGAATGCTCTCATAACAAAATTATAACATTTTAAAATATCAAACCGCTTCAAATGGACTCTTTGTAGTGCTTTTTATCTGCATATTCATTTATCACGATCAGTTTGTTTTGTTAAGCTGTCATGTTGTCTTTTATTGTGTGACAATTAAAGGGTTAGTTCACTCAATAATGAAAATTAGTCCATAAATTACTCACCCTCAAGTCATCCTAGGTGTATATGACTTTCTTCTTTCAGACGAATCCAGTCGGACCTATATTAAAAATGGTATTTGATCTTTTAAGCTGTTTAATGCCACTCAGCGGGTGTTGCATGCATCAGTCCAAAAGAAGTTAAATAAAAAGCGCCCATCCATTTAAAAAACTCACACGGCTCCAGAGGGTGAACAAAGGCCTTCTGTAGCGAATCCATGCGTTTTTGTAAGAAAACTTCTTTTGGACTGATGCATGCAACACCCGCTGAGTGGCATTAAACAGCTTGAAAGATCAAAGACTATTTTTAATATACAGTGGGTACGGAAAGTATTCAGACCCCCTTACATTTTTCACTCTTTGTTATATTGCAGCCATTTGCTAAAATCATTTAAGTTAATTTTTTTTCCTCATTAATGTAAACACAGCACCCCATATTGACAGAAAAACACAGAATTGTTGACATTTTTGCAGATTTATTAAAAAAGAAAAACTGAAATATCACATGGTCCTAAGTATATGTGTGAAAAACTTGTTGCATCTTTCCCAATAAGACTCATGGCTGTATTAGATCAAAAGGGAGCTTCTACTATATACTGAGCAAAGGGTCTGAATACTTAGGACCATGTGATATTTCAGTTTTTCTTTTTTAATACATCTGCAAAAATGTCAACAATTCTGTGTTTTTCTGTCAATATGGGGTGCTGTGTGTACATTAATGAGGAAAAAAATTAACTTAAATGATTTTAGCAAATGGCTGCAATATAACAAAGAGTGAAAAATTTAAGGGGGTCTGAATACTTTCCGTACCCACTGTAACTCCGACTGGATTCGTCTGAAAGAAGAAAGTCATATACACCTAGGATGACTTGAGGGTGAGTAATTTATGGACTAATTTTCATTATTGAGTGAACTAACCCTTTAGGAAGATATTACGTTGACATTAAGAAAAAAATAACCCACAACATAATGTGAGATGCAGGGTTATTATAGGCAACTAAAACTAAAACTGTATCTCAAATTAAAACCATTACAACAATCAAACAAAAAAAAAAAAAAAAAAAGTAAATTAAAATTAAAATAAAATAAATGTTAACAGAATTTTTTTTTTTTTTCCGGCTACAACATTTCTCATTTTAATTTATTTTAACATTAAGTACTAAAATAACAACATATATACAGTATATATATATATATATATATATATATATAGTTATAAAAACTACAAAAAATGACAAACACACAACAAAATTACATTAAAACATAACATAAAATAAAAAATAATAAAATAAAATAAAATAAAACATAAAAAATAATAAAATAAAGACATAGAAAAATAAATGAAATAAAATAAACAAATGATAAAATAAAATAAAATTAAATTAAATTAAATAAAACAACTATAATAGTACCTGAATGATAATAAAATTAAACTGGGATGATTACATGCAGGCAAACACGAGAAGCGAATGAAAAGCAGACAGCAGTAATGCAGAGCATGTGTACCTGGAGGCAAGGACCTGAGAGGAACGGATGTCAGCTACCACGTGTAAGAAGTAGTAGCTCATGAAAACTCGTCTCTGCAGCAGGAGAAAAGCGAAGCAGATGCTGTCCCAGATGATCCCGGCCTCGTCACTCGGCAGCTCGCACTGCTTATTTGCATTCTGCTCCGCTGCGAGAGAATCATCAGAACCTAATCAAGCTCTGCCTGACACAGCTTCAGTCATTAGAATGAGTTAACCATTAATGCTCATAAAACTCTTCCGTCCTATTTTATTAGTGGCTTTTTATAAAAATGGTTTTCTTAATCTGAGTGGTTCAAAACTATTCTTTAGATGAACAAACAAAAAACAAAACAGACTTTATTCATTGGGTCTAAGTGGATAGTTCACCCAAAAGATCAGGTCATCAGAGAGAGTTTGCAGATGAGTTTGTTTCTTCATCAGGTTTGGAGAAATGTAGCATTGCATCAGTGTCTCTGCAGTGAATGGGTGCCGTCAGAATGAGAGTCCAAACAGCTGATAAAAATCTGTTAATCCACAAGTAATCCACAGCACTCCAGTCCATCAGTTAACATCTGGAGAAGACAAAAGCTGAAACTAATCCAGCATTAAGACGTTTTTAACTAAAATACCATAGAGTCTATAATCCATAATAACGCTTCCTCCAGTGAGTCAGTGTTCTGGTGTGAATCAGGAGAGAAATCTGCACAGATCAAGCAGCGTTTAAACAGCTCTAAACACATATGAGGCTGGATTCTGATGCGAGAGACAACAGCAGATGCACTTTTTCACTGGAGGAAGAGTTATTATGGATTATAGACTCATGTTTCTTGATGGATGTGTTCAGCTTTTGTCTTCTCCAGATGTGAACTGATGGACTGGAGTGCTGTGGATTACTTGTGAAGTTTTTATCAGCTGTTTGGACTCTCATTCTGACGGCACCCATTCACTGCAGAGCACTGAGACACTGATGCAGTGCTACATTCTCCAAACCTGATGAAGAAACAAACTCAGCTACACCTCTGATCGTCTAAGGATGAGCACATTTTCAGCACATTTCATGACATGATTTGTGGCAGTAAAGCTTTAAAAAAGAAAGCACTGGAACATGTACAGCGAATGTAGAAAGTGAACAAAAAAAAAAAAAAAAAAAAAAAGTAAATTAAAATTAAAATAAAATAAATGTTAACAGAATTTTTTTTTTTTTTAACATTTCAACATTTCTCATTTTAATTTATTTTAACATTAAGTACTAAAATAACAACATATATACAGTATATATATATATATATATATATATATATAGTTATAAAAACTACAAAAAATGACAAACACACAACAAAATTACATTAAAACATAACATAAAATAAAAAATAATAAAATAAAATAAAATAAAACATAAAAAATAATAAAATAAAGACATAGAAAAATAAATGAAATAAAATAAACAAATGATAAAATAAAATAAAATTAAATTAAATTAAATAAAACAACTATAATAGTACCTGAATGATAATAAAATTAAACTGGGATGATTACATGCAGGCAAACACGAGAAGCGAATGAAAAGCAGACAGCAGTAATGCAGAGCATGTGTACCTGGAGGCAAGGACCTGAGAGGAACGGATGTCAGCTACCACGTGTAAGAAGTAGTAGCTCATGAAAACTCGTCTCTGCAGCAGGAGAAAAGCGAAGCAGATGCTGTCCCAGATGATCCCGGCCTCGTCACTCGGCAGCTCGCACTGCTTATTTGCATTCTGCTCCGCTGCGAGAGAATCATCAGAACCTAATCAAGCTCTGCCTGACACAGCTTCAGTCATTAGAATGAGTTAACCATTAATGCTCATAAAACTCTTCCGTCCTATTTTATTAGTGGCTTTTTATAAAAATGGTTTTCTTAATCTGAGTGGTTCAAAACTATTCTTTAGATGAACAAACAAAAAACAAAACAGACTTTATTCATTGGGTCTAAGTGGATAGTTCACCCAAAAGATCAGGTCATCAGAGAGAGTTTGCAGATGAGTTTGTTTCTTCATCAGGTTTGGAGAAATGTAGCATTGCATCAGTGTCTCTGCAGTGAATGGGTGCCGTCAGAATGAGAGTCCAAACAGCTGATAAAAACTTCACAAGTAATCCACAGCACTCCAGTCCATCAGTTAACATCTGGAGAAGACAAAAGCTGAAACTAATCCAGCATTAAGACGTTTTTAACTAAAATACCATAGAGTCTATAATCCATAATAACGCTTCCTCCAGTGAGTCAGTGTTCTGGTGTGAATCAGGAGAGAAATCTGCACAGATCAAGCAGCGTTTAAACAGCTCTAAACACATATGAGGCTGGATTCTGATGCGAGAGACAACAGCAGATGCACTTTTACACTGGAGGAAGAGTTATTATGGATTATAGACTCATGTTTCTTGATGGATGTGTTCAGCTTTTGTCTTCTCCAGATGTGAACTGATGGACTGGAGTGCTGTGGATTACTTGTGAAGTTTTTATCAGCTGTTTGGACTCTCATTCTGACGGCACCCATTCACTGCAGAGCACTGAGACACTGATGCAGTGCTACATTCTCCAAACCTGATGAAGAAACAAACTCAGCTACACCTCTGATCGTCTAAGGATGAGCACATTTTCAGCACATTTCATGACATGATTTGTGGCAGTAAAGCTTTAAAAAAGAAAGCACTGGAACATGTACAGCGAATGTAGAAAGTGAGCCTTCAATTCTTTAAACCAAAGAGGAAATGAAGGCATAACTTACGCTTTGAATATCCTTTTATAGTGCAGGCCAGACTGAATAACTGGATCAGCCAGCAGTGATTGGCCACCAGCGCTTTTATATATCCACACGCCACGATCTGAGAGCCGAGAGAACAGAAGCCACAATCACATCCAGCAGAACATCCACAACAACCTAAACCTTCTCTTTGATATCTCACGCTTCGGATGAACCTCTTTACAGTTTGATTTTCAACTGCTAACAAGCATTGTTCAATACTGAAGCCACCTTTCCAAAACTGTTCATACAGACTGCATTACCAACATGTGTCTTGGCCAAAACTCACTCAGACCAACAAAACACTTCATATAGGCCTCAAAATAAGCTTGTTTCACCAGAACACTGGCAACAACTCTCATTCAGAAAACACACTGGTCTAAAAACACTAACAACAGGAGCATTACATAAACTATCAACTTTTATCTTTGAAGTTTGAGTGATTTGTCACACAAGTATTTCATTATAGGATAAGAATAACATCTTTTCATTTTACTGACTGTATTAGAGCACAACGAATGAATGAGAAAAGCAGCACCCCCATTCCTTTACATACAAAAAGCAAACAAATCATTAACGTTTACAAAATGTACTTGTGAAAAAAAAAAAAAATTAATAAAAAGTTGAGAATTAAAAAAAAAAAAAAAGAGTAAATTCCTGAAGCAATAATTAGAAAGAAAAATGAAAAATAAATCAATAAAAAGTTGAGAATTTTTTTTTTAAATAATTTCCTGAAGCAATAATTACAAAGAAAAAAAAATTAATAAAAATTAAAAGTTGAGAGAAAATTATTTTTTTTAAACAATACATTCCTGAAGCAATAATTAGAAAGAAAAATGAAAAATAAATAAATAAAAAGTTGAGAAAAAAAAGAATAAATTCCTGAAGCAATAATTACAAATAATAAATAAATTAATTAAAAGTTGAGAAAAAATAAAAAATAAAAAAATGAATAAATTCCCAAAGCAATAATTACAAAGAAAAATAATAAATAAATAAATAAAAAGTTGAAAAAAATAAAAAATGAATAAATTCCTAAAGCAATGATTAAAAAGAAAAATAAATAAGTAAAAAGTTGGGAAAAAAAAAATACAAAAATGTATAAATTCCTGAAGCAATAATGAAAAAAAAAAAAGAGAAATATTTTCCATTTATGCAACATATTTCGGTTAGTGAGGCAGGTGTGCGTGTGTTGTGTGTATTTTGCATCATTGACACTATTTTTCTATTTAATACTGTAAAGCTGCTTAGACACCATCTGTATTGTTAAAAGCGCTATATAAATAAAGCTGACTTGTCTTGACTTGACTTGTAATTATTAATCAAATCCCAAAAGCATTCAGACCCACAGAAATGCAGAGCGCTACAAACAGAACTGTGATTTATGTGGGTCCGTGGCTGTTCAGCACATATTTCAAGCTAATTTACCACACCTCTGAGTGAAAGCTCGCTGCGAGCAGACTTATGAGATACTCACCGAGAGAATGTTTTTCATGGTGATTACGAAGACGTTGTATGCTATGAGGAAGTCCCAGTAATGAAGGATGCTTTTGATTGGCTTCAGTAACAGCTCGCCGCCAAAGATCAAGAAGTAGAAGCAGGCGAGCAGGTATCCCATGCAGAAGATGCTGATGCGTGTGGTGCCCGTGATGAAGATGATGGTCAGGACGAACCAGAACAGATAGCTGAACATCATCACCTTCAGCATGTCCAAATACGACCTGCGGAGAGGACAGAGACAATGACGGGTGAAGTCTGAACAGTTTTGTTTTTTCAGCTGCTTGCACACATTTTCAAAACCTTGCCTCTATTTTTCTAAACTTTACACACAAATCCGAGAATTGCACACAAAATGCAAAATGCCTCGCATCTCTTGCAAAATGAAGCACTGCATTTAAAATATCAAACATTTGCCATAATATTAATTCCTGTTAGATTTTGGTGTGTTACATCGATGTTGTGTTTTGCAAAAAGTGTTTTATGAAATAGAAAACCGAGTCAAAGGCTGATTATTATTAGCGTATGGTTCAAAGATGCATTAAATTGTTGAAAAGTGTCAGAAGTGTTACAAAATATTCCAATCTCAAATAAATGCTGTTCTTCTGAACTTTCTATTCATCTGTGAATCCTGAAAAATAAAATGCATCACAGTTTCCACAAAAATATTGTGCAGCACGACTGTGTTCAACATTGATAATAATCAGAAATGTTTCTCGAGCAGCAGATCAGCATATTATACTGATTTCTGAAGATCATGTGACACTGAAGACTGGAGGAATGATGCTGAAAATACAGCTGCGCAAGTATGCATTTAATATGTATTTAGTAAGTGTCTACTTTAATGTTTCAAATAACGTTTGTGAAAATAAAATGTGAAATCATGTTCCATCATCATTCAGTGTAACCGTTATATTTATGCAAAACACATCAATCCTGACCGGTTGTTATTAAACTATATAAAATAATACGTGATCATCTTAAATTTTAATATATTTTAAATGACTACAAACGAACACATAGGTAAAGCTTTGTGGTTTGAAGATTTAAAATGACAGTAAATGAGCATTTAGTAGCTGATCTTTAAATAGAAACTAATGATTCTTGTTCTAATGACGATCACGATTTTTTTGGTATATGAATTATTGTTACCCTGAACGATATTTTAGCGGGTGTCTTCTGTAAATCTTGGTAAAAATGTATGATTCTCAGAAATATAAAATTAGACTAGGACACATTCTAATGTAAATGAAACCGTATTGGACTTTTATTATGCTTGACGACCCTTTTTTCGTCTTTGACTCGAGCAAAAAAAAAGACTTCTTTTAAAACATAAAAAAAATCTTACTGACCCCAAACTTTTGAGTAATAGTGTATATATATATCATTATTAGTATTCACATATGGTTATTATTATATTGGTCTGGTCAGGCTCAATAGCGGTGTCTTCTGTAAATCTTGGTAAAAATGTATGATTCTCAGAAATATAAAATTAGACTAGGACACATTCTAATGTAAATGAAACCGTATTGGACTTTTATTATGCTTGACGACCCTTTTTTCGTCTTTGACTCGAGCAAAAAAAAAGACTTCTTTTAAAACATAAAAAAAATCTTACTGACCCCAAACTTTTGAGTAATAGTGTATATATATATATCATTATTAGTATTCACATATGGTTATTATTATATTGGTCTGGTCAGGCTCAAAAGTTCATCTGTTATCAGAGGAAAATATTGTCTTTGGCATCAAAAACACAGACTGTAAACAATCATACGATGATATTTGCTAGGAAAGGCCATTTTTGCTAATAATGTTCAACCCCGAACCATTTTGCATCAAATGGCACCGTTTCCTCAGAATTACCCATAATGCATTAGCAGGTTATTTGGTTTTACTGGAATCTGCAAGTATATTAATAAGTGTAATGATGAAGAAGTGGAAAAACTGAGCAGAATGCTGTATGCTCTTGAGAGAAATCTGACGTGTGTAATTCAGTTCGATTATAGAAATATAATCCGTTTAACTCATTTTAAGCCATTCTGCGGCCCTTTGGAAGTTCACGGAGTTTGAGAACCTCTGGTCTATATTTTGTAGAAAACACAAGACATACAGATTATGAATGTGTTTTCTGTTTTGAAATGGAGCTTCAAAAGAACTAAATGTGACATAAAAGTGTGTAAATGTTACTAAAAAAAAATTTGTTTTGTTTAAATAACATTTACATCAGAAAAGCCATTGAATGGCCATAAAAATTACTTTTGATAAATATATGCACAGTATTACATATTAATGATATTTATCCATAACCTGTTGTCCTCTTTATTTAATTCACATTTGAATAAATCTGTGACGAAACAAGTTATTATTACAGCCACTTTTAAATGTGTATATTTCAACAACAAAATTGGAATAGAAGCATAATTCTGTTATTAAAAAGTCAACATAAAAATGGTCTTATGTGCAGTTTAAAAGTTTTTATTTGAGTGTCGATTCATTGATTTTTTCCCCTTTTTGGTTTCAGTCTTTGGCTAAATGAAAATAAAGCTAAATAAAACTAATAAAAACTAAATAATTAAATAATAATTGAATTCATGCATTAGTTTCTTCATAATAATTTAATGAAATGTAAAAAATCGCCGCAATAATATTAATACAGTTATAGAAACACTACTTTAAAATAAGTTTAAAAAGGTCATTTTTACATTTAGTCATTTAGCAGAAGCGACTTACAAACGAGGACATCTTCAAGATAACCGAGAGGGAATTTGCTGTTATCTTAAAGGAATAGTTCGCCCCAAAATTTTTCTAATTTGCTTGAAATGTGCTCACTCTCAGGCTGTCCCAGATGTAGATGAGTTTGTTTCTTCATCAGGTTTGGAGAAATGTAGCACTGCATCAGTGTCTCAGCAATGGATGCTCTGCAGTGAATGGGTGCCGAACAGCTGATAAAAACATCACAATAATCCACAAGTAATCCACAGCACTCCAGTCCATCAGTTAACATCTGGAGAAGACAAAAGCTGAGACAAATCCATCATCCATAATCCATAATAACGCTTCCTCCAGTGAAAAAGTGCATCTGCTGTTGTCTCTCGCATCAGAATCCAGCCTCATATGTGTTCAGAGCTGTTTAAACGCTGCTTGATCTGTGCAGATTTCTCTCCTGATTCACACCAGAACACTTTTTCACTGGAGGAAGAGTTATTATGGATTATAGACTCTATATATTTTAGTTAAAAGCGTCTTAATGCTGGATTAGTTTCATCTTTTGTCTTCTCCAGATGTTAACTGATGGACTGGAGTGCTGTGGAATATTGTGATGTGTTTATCAGCTGTTTGGACTCTCATTCTGACGGCACCCATTCACTGCAGAGCATCCATTGCTGAGACACTGATGCAATGCTACATTTCTCCAAAACTGATGAAGACACAAACTCATCCTAATCTTGGTTGGCCTGAGTTTGTGTACATCTTCAGCACATTTTCATTATTGAGTGAACTGTCTCTTTAAGCAGACACCTGTGTGACTCACCTGTGCAGGCCGCAGGAGGGATGCCGATGCACATCAGGTACTGGAAGGCTAACATGCAGGCCAGAAAGAAGCAATACTTGGACCAGACGCGGGCGATGGCTTTTCTCCTGCTCTGATACATCACCACAATCAGACCGAACGCGTGCAGCATGGCATAGAAATCCATCCGCTGGCCGATCACATTCACCGCTAACAGAAAACAGGTCTGGAGGAGCAACATTCAGCCACGGGTTTCAGGACAATAATATGTGAATTGATAGCATCACTATACACACATTAAAATTCAATATCCATCACGTAACCCTGATCCATTACCGTAACACTCTATTGTGGTTTATCTGTCTCAACAGTGTGTTAGCAATCTGAGCTTCAGATGGTAATCTATTAGAGACTGTCTCACAGACAGAGAGTAAATCAGTGTCTGTTCAAAACCAAAACTGGCCCTCAAAGGGGAGAACACGTTCATGTTCCTTCAAATCAGCATATTATACTGATTTCTGAAGATCATGTGACACTGAAGACTGGAGGAATGATGCTGAAAATACAGCTGCGCATCACAGCAATACATTACAGTTTAACAGAGATTCACAGAGAAAACAGCTGTTTTAGATTGTAATATTATTTTCAAATTTTTACTGTATTTTTAATCAAATAAATGCAGCCTTGGTGAGCAGAAGAGACTTTTTCACAAATATTAAAACACATACCAACCTCAGATTTTTGAATGGTAGTGTATAATTAATGCTGATATTACCTCAAGACCAAATTTGTAGAAGAAGTAGTCGATGAAATATTTGGCGCAGTTGACGATGCCGTGGTCCAGATGCTGGCGTGTGATGTTGTGAAAGACGGTTCTCGTGACCGGAGGGGTGAGGTTGTTCTTCATCCGGTAGAAATCCTGGTGACGGTAAATGGTCACTTCAAACGCCAAGAGAGCCAGCATCAGTAAGTTATTCTGTGTGCGGAAAATAAACAAATATACAAACAAATAAATAAATGGATAAGGATGCTATTGAAGTGATTGTAGTGTCAACCACAAGAGACAAATGCAAGTATAAATCGGCATAATGTAGATTTGCCAATGTCACCGATGGCTGGTAACTTTATTAGGAGCTGATTGATAATCTCTCGATTAAATGTTATCGTGAGAACGATACTCTGACTCTTAACGTGGCATCACTTTAGCAAAATTTTGGTTAAATTTTACAGGCAAAAAAGGTAAGCTGTCTGTTGTCAATAGTGTAGAGATGCACAGCTCACACAGAAATCACTTTCAAAGCGAGCTGCTTTCTGTCGAGCAACACAGCGAATTTGTGTGACCAAAGTTTACCAAAATTAATACTGAATCTAAAGCCATAAAAAGATACATTAACTGAAATGAAACAAAATATTACAAACTTACTTCAGCTAGCCGCCAAGCACCATTTCTCATTTATATTTGTTTAAGTTAACGTTCAAAAATAACGAAAACTGAAATAAAAATGAATAAAAACTACAAAAAGTACTAGAACAAAACAAAACATAATTACAAAAACTTAAAAATAAAAATAGACACAAATATGTTATAGTATCTCAAAAATACTAACTGAACGCTAAATGTGACCAACCTTTACTCGCATATTTATAAAGTACTGTACATAAATTATTCAGATCAAACCATCTTCTATAGAAACCAGACTCTTGCATCTTCTAATATCTTCCTATATATAGGAAGTGCCGTGCGAAAGTATTATTTCACGTTTTGTTATGCTGCTGCCTTATGTTAAACTGCATTAAATTACTTATTTTCCACAGCTGGCAAAATACAAAACTTAAATGATTCCATTGCATAAGTATTCAAACCCTTATCTGGGACAGCTGAAATTGAGCTCAGGAGCTTTCATATTGCTTGTAGATGTTACTACACTTCGAGTGAAGTTAACCTGAGGAACATTCAATTGAATGGGTATGATTTGGAAAGGCATAATAAAAATGCTTAATAAAAGGTCTAACAGCTGATATACAGTAATACGTTTAGCTAGGGTGCTAATTTTTTCTCTCCATGTGGCAATCAGTGTTATTTTAGTATCATTGAGACACTATTATAGTTTTATTTTGAATCAGTTTTTTTATTTTATATTTTGTTTTCATTTTAATTTTAATCAAAACGTTTGTGTGCTTCTGTCATTTTTAGTCTGTCTATATAGGTTTTATTCATTTTTATTTCAGTTTTAGTTTTAGCTATTTTAGTACATCAAGTTAAACTAAATTAAGATTTTAAAAAATGTTGCCTTGGCAACTATCGGAAATAAAAGAGTTTTTTTTTTATTACATATATTTTATTTGAGTAACATTTATTTTATTTCAAATAACGCATTGTTATAAAGGCTTTTTTTTTTTTTTAGTTAACTGTTCACACTTCGTGCTTCGCAGTGATGCCACGGAAGAACCTTTTTGTCTAAATGGTTCCATAAAGAACCTTTAACATCTGAAGAACCTTTCTGTTTCACAAAAGCTTCTTTGTGGCAAAAGAAGCTTCTTCAGATTATAAAAAAGCTAAGAAAGAGATGGTTCTTTGACTGAATGGTTCTTTGTGGAACCAAAAATGGTTCTTCTATGGCATCGCTGTGAACAACCTTTTAAGCAGCTTTATTTTTAAGAGTGTAATAACTACATTAATCCTGTTCACTATACTGATTTTGCAACTGAACCTCAGCAGCTCTTACCCTCAGATTCTCCAGCAGCGGAGAGAACTTCCTGAAGCCGATCCAGTTAGCCGGATCCACCGGGCCGCTGTAGAGCAGAGATCTGGCCATGTCTGAGCGCTGAGCGTCCGTGTAGTTCTCCGGCTGGAGGAGAGAAGCACAGACTCGGTCAGAACCAGAGCGTCTGTGTGTGTCCCGAGTGAGCGAGTGAGGACTCACCATACTGCAGCTCCTGGAGTACGAGGACGGGTTGATGGAGGTCAGCTGGTACAGCATCTTACAGACCACGATGACGCAGGTCCAGACGGTGCAGACGCTAGATGCCAGCGGTCTGAACTGACTGAAGGGCAGAGCGAAGGCCCAGCTCACCAGGAACACATAGTTAAACAGAGACACCTGACAGAGACACAGAACCAGAGACGGTCTACCAGCGTGAACAATGTGGTCCTCTACGTTCTCACATTTGTGTAAATATTTAGAGAGAAAACAAGTGTTAAAAAATAAGCTACAATTCATAAATAAAAAAAATTAAAAAAATAAGATAAAATAAAAAATAAGCATTAGATTCAAACAAACAAACAAAAATAAATAATAAATAAATAAAATATTAAAGAATAAATGAGTGAGTAAATGAATAAAACAATTAATGAAAATAAACAAGCTTAACAAACAAAATATTTTCTAAATTATATTTTAGACGCATATAATAGTTTTTCACTGTATAAGTTGGTCTTTAAATAAGAAACAATATAGATGCCATGTAAATTTCAGAGGCAATGATATTTTAGTATCATCTTAGATTTTAAATTTTTATATTTTCTGCTTTCATGTTAATTTTAGTTAATTTTCTTTTGTAATTTTATTGTGCGTTTTGTAATTTTTTGTTTATATATATATATATATATATATATATATATATGTGTGTGTGTATATGGTGTTATTAATTTTATTATTGCTATTTAATTAATTAATTAATTAATTAATTTAGTTTTAGTTATTTTAATACATAAAGTTAAATTAAATGAAAATGAGAAGTGACGCCTTTAAAACTAGCTGAAATAAATTCAATTAACATTTATTTTATTTCAAGTAATGAAAACGTTTTTAATGGCTTTGGTTTTAGTTTTAAGTTAAAGGCACAATATGTGAGATTTTTTTATTAAAATATCCAAAAACCACTAGAACAGTGTTATATATTTTGCTGACTTGTGTACTTACATTATCCCAAATGTTTCGAAGAATGTTTAAATCCAGAGAAATAAGCAATTTTAACTAGTGACACGACCGTGTCCATCGTGTCATTGTGTCGTCTGCCAATGACGTCTTAACCCCTTGATTTCCAGTTTTGTTTTGTAGACAACATGTAAACACCAAAGACGGTGTTTTAGTAGAGTGTATTTAGTCTATTTAGTGTTTTATTAGACCGGTGGCGACCGCACAGAGTAGCATTATAACAGAACTAAACGTATCTAGTATGATAAAATCGCCGCTGCTTTACCCCACATCCGCCCGACCGGAAGCAGCGGAAGCGCTCGACTGCGGCATAATAAAAGCTCCGCTGCTTTACCCCACATCCGCCCGACCGGAAGCAGCGGAAGCGCTCGACTGCGGCATAATAAAAGCTCCGCTGCTTTACCCCACATCCGCCCGACCGGAAGCAGCGGAAGCGCTCGACTGCGGCATAATAAAAGCTCCGCTGCTTTACCCCACATCCGCCCGACCGGAAGCAGCGGAAGCGCTCGACTGCGGCATAATAAAAGCTCCGCTGCTTTACCCCACATCCGCCCGACCGGAAGCAGCGGAAGCGCTCGACTGCGGCATAATAAAAGCTCCGCTGCTTTACCCCACATCCGCCCGACCGGAAGCAGCGGAAGCGCTCGACTGCGGCATAATAAAAGCTCCGCTGCTTTACCCCACATCCGCCCGACCGGAAGCAGCGGAAGCGCTCGACTGCGGCATAATAAAAGCTCCGCTGCTTTACCCCACATCCGCCCGACCGGAAGCAGCGGAAGCGCTCGACTGCGGCATAATAAAAGCTCCGCTGCTTTACCCCACATCCGCCCGACCGGAAGCAGCGGAAGCGCTCGACTGCGGCATAATAAAAGCTCCGCTGCTTTACCCCACATCCGCCCGACCGGAAGCAGCGGAAGCGCTCGACTGCGGCATAATAAAAGCTCCGCTGCTTTACCCCACATCCGCCCGACCGGAAGCAGCGGAAGCGCTCGACTGTGGTATAATAAAAGCCCCGCTGCTTTACCCGACATACGCACGACCGGAAGCAGCGGAAGCGCTCGACTGTGGATTAATAAAATTATTAGCTCATCCATGAACATGATTTCTGCCCGAGTCCCGTCGGATTGCATCGGCTGTGGGGATGAAGACAACAACTCCCATGATTCCACAATCAGTCACTGCGTCATCAAACTACGGCTTTGTTTATTTTGAATACGCGTCCTCTAGCGGCGAAAACTACATATTGTGCCTTTAACTATAATAACCCTGGGATGGGGTTCCTTGCTTGAGGATGATTATTTGGGGGTCTGTGGCGTTTAAAAGATTGAAAAACCCTGATCTAGGTCATGTGAGCATACAGACCAGGTTAGACCAGCTAGACACCATGTAAAACCAGCTACTACTTTGCTGGATTGTCCAAAAGAGATCACATAGACTTGTATGTTGGGCCACCTGAGCCGTGATTGCTCCTCACCTCTCTGACTGAGACCCAGATGATGTAGGACGAGACGATCTTGATGATGTGAAGCTCCAGCAGCCACCAGATGAAGAGCTGCAGCTTCTGAACACAATCCAGGAACTTCAGGAACAGCACCGTCAGACGCTCCACCACCAGACGCCACTTATTCTTCAGCTCTTCACACGACAACAACACATGCATCACTTACAAAAACAACAGAATGTTGAGAGTTGAAAATTTTTTGAATTGACATTAAGTAACTTATTGTTCAGGAATTACTCTCAGATAAAGATCCAAAAGTGCTATCTAAAACTATTTGTATTACTTTTGTTAACTGAAATGAACTAACCTAAACTAAACGAAAATATTAGATAAACTTAAATTAAGAATAAAAAAAAACCTATTTGAAAATTAAAATTAAAATCAAAACTGAAAATATAAAAATAAAAGCTAATTCAAAGTATTAGAAAATAATATAATAGTATAGAAATAATTCTAAAACAACTTAATGCAAACAAAAGTGATTAACCTGAAAGTGATGCACCTGTATTAATAATAAGCTAAATAAGTTAAAGCATGAACAAAATTAGAAATGCTGCCTTGGCAATTCATTGAAATAAAATAAGTTTTGGCTGAATACTAAAAATTACTAAACATTTAAATGAAATAAATAATAATAAAGCTGAATAGAATATAAAAACGTCACAAATTTGACTAAAATGACTAAAACATAAACTAAAATAAAACTCAAAACTGAAGCTAAAAGCTCATTTTAAATATTAATACATATTTTATTAATTTAATAAATATTAATACATACCTTATAATAGTATAGAAATAATTCTAAAATTACTAAAACAAATTAATTAAATAATAAAGCTCAATAGAATATAAAAACTTCACAAAAATGAATAAAATTACAAACAATTCAAAAACTGAAAACATGAAAATAAAAGCTAATTGTAGATATAAATCAATATTATAACAGTATTGAAATAGCATTAGAGTACCACTGGTCTATATTGTCTGACAGTAACACACAGGATTACTGAGTTACATCTGCACATGTGCAGAAAACATCAAGATTTTGGGAATGCGAGCAGCTGATTCCAGGACCGTAAAATAATGACCCTGTGCACAGCAACGCTTACAGAGCCGTTTGTCAACATTACAACGCTGAAACAGCCAATAATGGGTAAAATATCTCAAATCTCAAAACAGTCATAAAACACAGACACCCACGGATGAATCACAGCGACATGTTCCAGACATGTTTATGAAATACATAAAGCACGAGCAGTGGACTAACAACAGTTTAGAAAAGCAAGGTTTGACTCGCAGCTGTTCTCTGGTGCATACAGATCACAGAAAGCACAGTGTGAAACTCACTAAATAAGGTTAACAAGAAGCTACACAACCTGTACTGTTAAAAATAAGATAGGCCAAACTATTTTAGGCCTATCTCAAATTTGCCCTTTTTATCTAAGGTTTTAGAAAAAGTGTTTTTTAAACAATTCCAGGCCAACTTGACTTCTAACTCTGTTGCTGAGGTCTTTCAATCAGGTTTTAAGCCTTATAATAGTACTGAGACGGTATTGGTGAAAGTACTGAATGACATCTTTTTGGCTTTGGATAATGGTGAAAAAACCATTCTGATTCTACTCGATCTCAGCACGGCGTTCGATATGGTGGATCATAATACATTGTTTTACCGCCTGGAACACTGGGTTGGTCTTAAGGGCAATGTGCTGAAGTGGTTGAAATCATATCTCACTGGCAGATCTTTCTCTGTCTGCACAGTGAAAGAAAATTCATCCAGTTTGCCTCTTCTTTGGGGGGTACCTCAGGGTTCGATTCTTGCACCAATATTATTTTCCCTTTATGTGCTACGTTTAGTATCCATTTTTCGTAAATATAATGTATCCTTCCACTGTTATGCGGATGACACTCAGATTTGCCTTCCAGTGAGACAGTCGAACATAAACATTATCGATAATTTATTGGCCTGTCTACAGGACATCAAAGCCTGGAAGGCTGCAAACTTTTTGAAATTAAATTATGATAAAACCAAGGTCATAGTGCGTGACCCTGGAAATCAGGAAGAGGCTCAATGCTTAAAATCTACCCATCTGTCTAGTTTAATTACAAATAGTGTAAAAAATGTAGGGTTGGTTCTGGACTCGGAAATGGATAAACAAATAAATTTGGTCATCAGGTCAAGTTTTTTTTATATTCATCTTTTAGCTAAAATGAAACCTTTTTGTAAACGGGGGGGTACCTCAGGGTTCGATTCTTGCACCAATATTATTTTCCCTTTATGTGCTACGTTTAGTATCCATTTTTCGTAAATATAATGTATCCTTCCACTGTTATGCGGATGACACTCAGATTTGCCTTCCAGTGAGACAGTCGAACATAAACATTATCGATAATTTATTGGCCTGTCTACAGGACATCAAAGCCTGGAAGGCTGCAAACTTTTTGAAATTAAATTATGATAAAACCGAGGTCATAGTGCGTGACCCTGGAAATCAGGAAGAGGCTCAATGCTTAAAATCTACCCATCTGTCTAGTTTAATTACAAATAGTGTAAAAGATGTAGGGTTTGTTCTGGACTCGGAAATGGATAAACAAATAAATTTGGTCATCAGGTCAAGTTTTTTTTTATATTCATCTTTTAGCTAAAACGAAACCTTTTTGTAAACTGCTGGTTTTGAGAAAGCAATCACGGTGATGGTTTTCTCAAGAATGGATTACAGTAATTCGCTTTATTTTGGAATTAATAACAGAGCATTGGCGCATCTTCAAAAAGTACAGAATGCTGCAGGATGCTCAAGCGAGTCAGTTACACCGCTTTTAAAATCGCTGAAATGGTTGGCGATTCAATACAGAATTAGCTATAAGATCTTGTTACTTGTTATATAATTTTGCCCTTTCCTATTTTCCGAGTGTGTTGGCGTTTTACACTCCTTCTAGATCAGAAGTGTTAAACATAACCAATATTATATATCACCAATAATCAATATTTTAACATCCCTCTGACTTTTCACGTTTTCTGGTTTTACAGCATTGAATCACATTCCACATTTTGAATTGTTTTATTTTTTTATTGATCAAAAGAAAAAAGAAAAAACAGATTGCTACAAACTGATCTATAATAATTAAGAAATGCAGAATTAATAAATTATAATATTATTATTTTGTTACAATTATTATAATATTTTTATTTATATTTGATTATATCACCATTAACAACAACATCAATAATAATAATAATAATAATAATAATAATAATTTTAACTTAAGAAGAAAAAAAAACTTTAAAACAAATTTAGAAATGATGCTTTGGCAACTAACTGAAATTAAATTATTTTAAGTTAAAGTACTTGCATTTCTCAAATTTAAAGGGAAATATATATATATATATATATAATACAATAAAAATATAAAGAAAAAAATATCAAAAATATGAAAACTGACAAAAAAGCACAACACTAAAATTAACTAAAACTAAAAGATTTAAAAACTAATTCAAAATATTAGGGGGCATTTTATAGGACCTATATATTATAGGACAATATTTGGCTGAGATACAACTATTTGAAAATCTGGAATCTGAGGGTGCAAAAAAATCTAAATATTGAGAAAATCATCTTTAAAGTTGTCCAAATGAAGTTCTTAGCAATGCATATTACTAATCAAACATTAAGTTTTGATATATTTACGGTAGGACATTTACAAAATATCTTCACAGAACATGATCTTTACTTAATATCCTAATGATTTTTGGCATAAAAGAGAAATGTATAATTGTGACCCATACAATGTATTATTGGCTATTGCTACAAATATCCCCCAGCGACTTAACACTGCTTCTGTGCTGCAGGGACAAAAATAAGCTCTACAATCTGAAAAAGATGCACCTGTATTGTTAAAATTAGCTCATTTAATAATGCAAACAATAAGAAACTATGCAACCTTAAAAAGATGCACTTGTATTATGCACCTTGCTATGATTATATTGCCATTAATAACACAAACATATTAATAACAACTATTAATAACTATTATTATTGTTTTTTTTAATTATTATTATTATTATGGAATAATGGGATCAAAACTGCACGTTTTAGCCATCAGACAACACGCACATTATCATAAACACACAATGTGAAATATGGTGGTGGCAGGATTATTTCCTCCAAGCAAATCCTGTCGGAAAACCTGACGGAGTCAGAAACTTGACCCCAGCTTCACAGGAATGCCTCAAAAACAACACCGTTAATTTCAGAGTCCAGATCTCAGTCCAGTTCATGGCTAGACTTGAAAAAGCCTACATACAACCAGTTGGGAAAACAACTGCAGCGGCCAGACATGCAAAGCTCACCGAGACCTGCTTGTGCTTTCAGTACGCACTGTACCTGGAGATTGTGCTCTTCTGTTTGTCGGCCACAGATTTGATGTCGGTGAGCTCGAGGAAGCGCTCGTGGAAATAGTGCAGATGCAGGATGCACACCAGCAGGAACGAGGTGGGAATGAAGATCCGCGTGAACAGAGCAGGAACCGAGAACTTCTCTAGACCCAGATCTTCCAGCCTGCACAGAAGAGGAGCTCACCTATCACACCGCAACACCTGTGGTACTGCTCATGAAAATAAGCTGTGCAAATATCAGCATACTTCTCTCTGCTCATGCCTGTCATGTTGGACCACACGTTAATGGAGGACTCAAACTGGAACGTGTAGACCAGAATGAGCACCAGCATGGTGTAAACCACCACTGACATCCAGAAATACTTCAGCATCCAGCGCCACCTCTCGTAGTGCAGCTGGAACAGAGCCGGACGACACATTAACTGACTGTATAAACATATCTAACACAAGATGGATCTGTGAAAAAGTACAGAAGCCCATTGCACCACAGAATAAGAAATAAAAAAAGGTAATAGCTACTTCTCATCTCATAATTCAGACTTTGCAAATCTGAGACAAAAAGTCTTCATAAAAAATGTTTATATACCAAGATTCTAACTTTTTTCTCAAAATTCTGGCTTTACATCTCTTTTTTTCCCTGCCACAAAATAAAAATAAAAAGGTAGAAAGTAATTTTTATCTCACAATTCAGACTTTTTTCTTGCAATTCTGAGTTTATATCTCTCAGTTGTTTTCTCAAAATTGTTTTGTCTGATATTAAATAAAAATGTTCATATCTCACAATTATGACTTTCTTCTCATAATTGTCTTCTCAGAATTGTGAGTTAATATCGCTCAATTCAGCATTTATATCTTGCAATTCTGAGTTTATATCTTGCGATTATTATTATTTTCTTTAGAACTGCAAGAAAAATGTCTGAATTTCTTTTTTATCCCGTGGCAGAAAAAAACAAATAAATAAATACATGGATAATAATAAACAAACAAAAACAAAAACGACAGATACAGTAAACAAACAAAATAAAACAACAAATGGCAATAAACAAACAAAAGCAAACAAATTACAGATTAAACACAAAACAAACAAAACACAACAAATGGATAATAAACAAATGACAAACAACCACAAAAAAAGATGACATACAAACCAACTGACAGTATACAAACCACACAGACAAACAAACTCCACATTAATTATTGTCTACTAATTCTGTTACTGTGTTTATAACGTGCTATTTGTAACAGTGGAAGCGATATCAAAAGGGTGTCATCAGAGCTACAGAGCACAACACAAACCTGATAAAGTGCCACGCAAAAGAGAAACATCATCATGTAAATGATCTTGTACATGACGATGCGTCCCTCAAAGCTCACGAGGAAAAACATTCCTCCACAGATGTAGATCCAGTATTTGTTGAGCATAGCCATGACTGTACGGCCCAACACATCCATCATCTCTCTGTGTCCACCGGCCTCATCCTCCAGACCCTCTTTTTTTCTTGGTTTTGTTTAACTTTACTAGCTCTAAAAAAATGTTTAAGATGCTCTAAAAGATTCAAGAGTTTTGACAGAACTTAAATACACAAATAAAATATTTCGGTTTCAACAGCATCTGTCTCTGAAAACAAACCAGCAGTGATCGATTTGATGTAATTGTTATTTTCAAAGCTTCTTAGCACAATGTAATTTTGAAAATCATTAAAACATTTAATTATATATGAAAAATATATATATAGTTTTTTGATAGAATCAACTATATTTCCTAATATTAAATTGTTTGTGAAATGTGTCAAATTTATTTCATTACTGTCTATTTGAGGATACCTGGAATGCAAAAGATAAACTATTTGCAATATATACAAAAGTTTTATGGAAATGCTCAAGATTTCTTTTGCAGTACACCAAAACCTATGTGACAATGCACACTATTTTATCTGTGAGATGCCAGTTGGGTGGAATTGCATATATTATAACAGAGTTATCGGAGCGTAGGGGTGACCTGCCATTTATTTTGACCTATGTTTGCGATTTGTTTTTGTTTAGGGAGTTAGGGAAGTTCATTTGTAATTCTCTTTTCTTTATCATTAGGTCAGTTTTATATATTTATTTTATTAGGGGGTTGTGTTTGTTATTTTGGCCTTGGGCCACCCCGAAGCCACTGCTCCTTTATACCGCTTTATTCTTCTTTAATAAATTGTTTAAACTTATGGATGGTGTCCTCAGTGATCTGTTGGTTGTGGCTGGAATCCCGTTATATGTTTGAATTAGTTTATATAGTTTTATATATATAGATAGGACTTTTTTTTTTGTCAAAGTTTTGGTAATTTTGTTGTTTTGTGTCAATTTTATTACTTTTTTATATCTATAAAATTTTTATTAATTTTTATTTTAGTTTTAGTGATTTTAGCACCATTTTAGTATCAGGTTAAACTAAATGAAAATGGGAAATGTTGCCTAGCTGAAATAAATGAAATTTAAATAATTATTTGATTAGATTTTTTTATGGTTTCAGTTTTAGTTAACAGTGGTAAAGGTGCTGTTTCTGTGTCTCTCTCTCACCGGTTGTGTGTCCCTCCGCTCTGACATCAGACAGCTGCGCTTCAACAGCCGGTTTCTCTCTCCTCTCCGTCAAAAACTGCCTCAGCAGCAGCCAGAAACTGAGGAGGCACAACGTCTGCACAAACACACTGTAATATTACCATAGTCAAAAAAAATGAGTCAATAATTCATTCAAAAGAGGGTATATGTGTGTGTTCAGTGCCTAAAACTCCCTTAATCAAGATAAAATCACCGTACCGCACAGAACGGAGCAGTAGTTCAGTGATTTCAGCAGCTAATACATATCTTAAAATACAGCAATGTTCAATAAATAATCATTTACAACCAATAATCACAATAAACAGCTCTTTAAACAAGTATAACACCGTGTCCTAATCAGTCACAGCCAATCAGAACACAGTGTGGCTCAGCCAATCAGATTATTAAACTGGAAACATCTTTTTTGAGTTATTTAAACACATAAATGCATAGACACTAGGGCAAAAATATTATCTTATTTATTTATTTATTTATTGTAGCATTAATGAGGAAGGACATTTATTTTTCCCTACATTCTGTGTTTTCCATTTTATTTTTTCTGGATTTTGTGTTTTATGATTTAGTACAAATTCATCATCAGAAATTAAATGAATTAATACAACTTTAAAAATTAAACAAATATTTTGAAATGTAATTTAATGAAAAATTAACAATAATATAATTAATATAATATAATATAACAATAATAATTAATTTAAAACAAAATATTGCACTTTTATTTTTTTATTTTTAAATTAAAACATGATTGAACAAATATCTTGGTTGTGTGATATTCCTTAAAATATTAAATATTGTTATTATTAATTACTACTACTACTACTAGTATTTTGATAATTATATTTTAGTATACAACAGAGATATATTTCTGTCATAATTTCTTCAAGTTAAACCAGACTTTTATTTTGGCGGGTTGTCGTGAAGGTCTTTCAGTTTTACTTTCCGTTTCGGTGTGTATTTCTTTATTTCTGCTGTGTGATTAATCCACATCGACTAAAAATGTCCAGAGCTTATCATTCTTATCAACATATATGTTTTATCACAATATGATATCATTTATCACACCAGCTCTAGTAGACACAAACAAATACAGCACGTAATGCGGTCTTACTTTCGATCCCAGCTCCCGGAAAGGCACTTCTTTCTTCAGGAAGAGCCCAGGAACCGGCTGCAGCGACTCGAAGCTCCAGATGTACTGCAGGATGATGAGCAAGTTCCCATAAAACACCATGAACGGAGAGGTGATCATTGAGTATTTCCTCCGGTCCCTCACCATCCACAGAATACAGGACCAGATGAGGAAGATGAAGGTCAGCCAGCTCACGTACGTGATGCTCCAAGCCTGGACGGACGGTCAGGAGAAAAAAAGAATGAATTTTCACACAAGACCTCAAATGATGTCTTTAAATGAAAGTCATTTGCACAGACTCACCATCATGGCAATGAGAGCGCAGATGTAGCTCTGCTTCATGATGAACCGGAAGGCCTTGACCGCCGCGTTCACACGAACGACACCGAACGGCCGGGGAACCTCGGGAAGCTCAACATACACAGAGTCAATCTTGTAAACACCGCAGTCCACTTTCTCTGAAAAAGAAGCATGTATTTTAAGCAAACGCCAGGGTCGGAGTCTGTGAATCATCTATCTTTGCCCTCAAACATGAATGGAGGCTTTACATGTGTTTATCTGGAAAATTTAGACTGCATTTCCAAGAACTGAAAAAACAAACTTCCTGAAATGAATGGGAAATATCTAGGGAATAGGGATGTTTATGGGAATAGTGTCCTATGTACCTGGTGGAAAAACATCCTATTTCACTACATATTCATTTGCACCTAAATCTAAATCAGTATTTTTGTCTTAATTTCAATGAATATATCTAAACTTTCTTAAACCAGATAGATTTACTTTGGAAGCAAAACTGTGCAACAGTATAATATTTAATAATTAGTTATATATTAATTAGTAACATAGCAAAATAACATATTAATCCATAAATATATAATTCTCTCTCCACATTATATATGTATGAATATGTACAGTCAAACCAAAAATTATTCAGACACCATATATATATTTTTTTATATTTTTTACTAGTGGGTGCAGGACACTATAGTTCATAAATATAAGTGAGGATAGCAAAAGCAAGTAAACTGTGACATATTATACCCAAAATTCTTCAAACAGTGGGTTACCAGTAAAACTGGGAGCAAAAATTCTTCAGACACTTTAACCTGAGCATGTTTTGCTGAAGCGTTTTTCTTTAATTGCTAATGCGACCTTTTTACACCACAGACTGAACAAAATGAAGCATTGCTTGGTAATTGGTAGCTGAATAATTTTTGGTTGATTGTAATCCATTACATACCTTCCTATCGAAGTTATCTGACATTATCAAGATGAATTTGTTCTGGCACAGTTATTTCACATAAACTGTGATATATATATATAGGGAGAGCCCAGGAACCGGCTGCAGCGACTCGAAGCTCCAGATGTACTGCAGGATGATGAGCAAGTTCCCATAAAACACCATGAACGGAGAGGTGATCATTGAGTATTTCCTCCGGTCCCTCACCATCCACAGAATACAGGACCAGATGAGGAAGATGAAGGTCAGCCAGCTCACGTACGTGATGCTCCAAGCCTGGACGGACGGTCAGGAGAAAAAAAGAATGAATTTTCACACAAGACCTCAAATGATGTCTTTAAATGAAAGTCATTTGCACAGACTCACCATCATGGCAATGAGAGCGCAGATGTAGCTCTGCTTCATGATGAACCGGAAGGCCTTGACCGCCGCGTTCACACGAACGACACCGAACGGCCGGGGAACCTCGGGAAGCTCAACATACACAGAGTCAATCTTGTAAACACCGCAGTCCACTTTCTCTGAAAAAGAAGCATGTATTTTAAGCAAACGCCAGGGTCGGAGTCTGTGAATCATCTATCTTTGCCCTCAAACATGAATGGAGGCTTTACATGTGTTTATCTGGAAAATTTAGACTGCATTTCCAAGAACTGAAAAAACAAACTTCCTGAAATGAATGGGAAATATCTAGGGAATAGGGATGTTTATGGGAATAGTGTCCTATGTACCTGGTGGAAAAACATCCTATTTCACTACATATTCATTTGCACCTAAATCTAAATCAGTATTTTTGTCTTAATTTCAATGAATATATCTAAACTTTCTTAAACCAGATAGATTTACTTTGGAAGCAAAACTGTGCAACAGTATAATATTTAATAATTAGTTATATATTAATTAGTAACATAGCAAAATAACATATTAATCCATAAATATATAATTCTCTCTCCACATTATATATGTATGAATATGTACAGTCAAACCAAAAATTATTCAGACACCATATATATATTTTTTAATATTTTTTACTAGTGGGTGCAGGACACTATAGTTCATAAATATAAGTGAGGATAGCAAAATCAAGTAAACTGTGACATATTATACCCAAAATTCTTCAAACAGTGGGTTACCAGTAAAACTGGGAGCAAACATTCTTCAGACACTTTAACCTGAGCATGTTTTGCTGAAGCGTTTTTCTTTAATTGCTAATGCGACCTTTTTACACCACAGACTGAACAAAATGAAGCATTGCTTGGTAATTGGTAGCTGAATAATTTTTGGTTGATTGTAATCCATTACATACCTTCCTATCGAAGTTATCTGACATTATCAAGATGAATTTGTTCTGGCACAGTTATTTCACATAAACTGTGATATATATATATAGGGATTGTAGGTGGGGGGAGTGAATGTACAGTGCTTTCTCCCACCTTCAATACCACGACTGAGGGGCCCTTGAGCAAGACACCGAACCCCCAACTGCTCCCCGGGCGCTGCAGCATAAATGGCTGCCCACTGCTCCGGGTGTGTGTTCACGGTGTGTGTGTGCACTTAGGATGGGATAAATGCAGAGTACTAATTCCTAGTATGGGTAACCATACTTGGCCACATGTCACGTCACTTTTTTCACTTTATATAATGTGAAAAATGTTGAAGGTGTCTGAATAAATTTTGTTTGACTGTACACTGTGTGTGTATATATACCATGGTATTGATATGTGTGTGTGTAATACCATGGTATTTAGTGACTGACTTACGCAGATCAGACTCGGGTCGGCCAGGTCTGTAGTGAGGGCTTGAGTAGAGCTCCACAGGCTTCGGCCCGTTCTCATGCAGGACTGACGTGAAGTCCAGCGAGGCTCCGTTTGAGGTTACCATCAATACCTGGGACAGAGGAAAGCCACAGAATTTCCTGACAGGCTCATGTATTCATCTATGATGCTCATTAATGAGAGTCAATCTGAAACACAGACCTCAGGTGTGCTGTAGCCCTCTTGTGTGGTGAGCAGCTGAAAATGCAGAAGGAACAACTATTTTTCTACAAATCACATCTTGAAACAAGTCATAGAAAATATATGGTAAGTGCATGCTTGCTACCTCATTAATGAGAGTCAATCTGAAACACAGACCTCAGGTGTGCTGTAGCCCTCTTGTGTGGTGAGCAGCTGAAAATGCAGAAGGAACAACTATTTTTCTACAAATCACATCTTGAAACAAGTCATAGAAAATATATGGTAAGTGCATGCTTGCTACACAAACATATACAGTGGGTACGGAAAGTATTCAGACCCCCTTACATTTTTCACTCTTTGTTATATTGCAGCCATTTGCTAAAATCATTTAAGTTAATTTTTTTTTCCTCATTAATGTACACACAGCACCCCATATTGACAGAAAAACACAGAATTGTTGACATTTTTGCAGATTTATTAAAAAAGAAAAACTGAAATATCACATGGTCCTAAGTATTCAGACCCTTTGCTCAGTATTTAGTAGAAGCACCCTTTTGATCTAATACAGCCATGAGTCTTTTTGGGAAAGAGGCAACAAGTTTTTCACACCTGGATTTGGAGATCCTCTGCCATTCCTCCTTGCAGAGCCTCTCCAGTTCTGGCAGGTTGGATGGTAAACGTTGGTGGACAGCAATTTTTAGGTCTCTCCAGAGATGCTCAATTGGGTTTAAGTCAGGGCTCTGGCTGGGCCATTCAAGAACAGTCACAGAGTTGTTGTGAAGCCACTCCTTCATTATTTTAGCTGTGTGCTTAGGGTCATTGTCTTGTTGGAAGGTAAACCTTCAGCCCAGTCTGAGGTCCTGAGCACTCTGGAGAAAGTTTTCGTCCAGGATAACCCTGTACTTGGCCGCATTCATCTTTCCCTCAATTGCAACCAGTCGTCCTGTCCCTGCAGCTGAAAAACACCCCCACAGCATGATGCTGCCACCACCATGCTTCACTGTTGGGACTGTATTAGACAGGAGATGAGCAGTGCCTGGTTTTCTCCACACATACCGCTTAGAATTAAGGCCAAAAAGTTCTATCTGGGTCTCATCAGACCAGAGAATCTTATTCAGGTGTTTTTTAGCAAACTCCATGCAGGCTTTCATGTGTCTTGCACTGAGGAGAGGCTTCCGTCGGGCCACTCTGCCATAAAGCCCCGACTGGTGGAGGGCTGCAGTGATGGTTGACTTTCTACAACTTTCTCCCATCTCCCAACTGCATCTCTGGAGCTCAGCCACAGTGATCTTTGGGTTCTTCTTTACCTCTCTCACCAAGGCTCTTCGCCCCCGATAGCTCAGTTTGGCCGGACGGCCAGCTCTAGGAAGGGTTCTGGTCATCCCAAACGTCTTCCATTTAAGGAATGGAGGCCACTGTGCTCTTGGGAACCTTAAGTGCAGCAGAAATTTTTTTGTAACCTTGGCCAGATCTGTGCCTTGCCACAATTCTGTCTCTGAGCTCTTCAGGCAGTTCCTTTGACCTCATGATTCTCATTTGCTCTGACATGCACTGTGAGCTGTAAGGTCTTATATAGACAGGTGTGTGGCTTTCCAAATCAAGTCCAATCAGTATAATCAAACACAGATGGACTCAAATGAAGGTGTAGAACCATCTCAAGGATGATCAGAAGAAATAGACAGCAC